CAGCCTGTGTCCAGTGAGACATGGCGGTGGCCCCATGTGGAACAGCAGATGGCTCTCATGAACAAGCGGATGATGATGCTGCAGGCATGTGGAGCCTGAGGAAGAGAAAGAAGAAAAGGACACAGCAGAGAAGAAAAGGGACAGGGTGCGGGTAAGGGACATGTCGTTCCATCATGGCTTATTGGAATATCGCCCGTTGTTGCAACATATAGAGACAATCAACAGTGACACTTCCTACTGTAGGTGATTCTACATTTGAGAGAAAATGAAACAGCCAATATTGAGTTATAAATGTTAAAGGACACATGACTGACCTTTCCTTGCTTTTTTAAAATAAATAGTTTGATATAGTATGTAAACATTGTTACAACCTCAAAACATGTTCACATTTCAGCCCACAAAATCCACCTATGGTGGGTCAGCAACCCAAATGTTAAGAAGATAACATTTGCCATTTTGTCCCTTTTAACAAAAAACCAAAACACCTTGGGAGCCACAACATTTTATGTCCATTTCCCCATCTTGGCTGTAAATATGTCTCAGTATGTGCTAATGTAGTAGTATAGGCTAAAAAAATATAATATAAATGAAAACGCAGACTTGCTTTGCTCTGCTTTAAGCTTTAGCTCAGATATAGCCACTTTTCTCGCATCAGGAAACATTTCCATGAAAGTAGAATATCACCGTTTGACTTTTTACGAGTCTGAAGTCAGTTTCTCATTCGCTAGCTTTAATTTCCCGTTCCACGTGAAATGGTGCCTGAGATGCCAGAATGTAACTGCTGCATAATTTCAGGTGGAACGGGAAAATTCGAACAAGAACCCCGCGAATGAGGAGCTGACTTCAGTTTCATGACTTTTTAGTGTTTGACAGTTTCACACAGCAGATTAAACGTATTAAGAAACCAGCTGAGTGCTTATAAATGGAAATAAGTCGGTTTGTTTCCAAATTATCGATGTCCGTCTTTAATCTCTCCTTTTGACTTTTAGTTAGCTACTAGCTAGGCGTGATTGTTGTCTGAACTTCAGGGTTAAAAGGTAAATTAGTTATAAGCTACGTTAAATCCAGTGTTTAAACAGTGCTAGAACAAGCGGCAGAGCTTTATTTTATTGCAAAGGGGGATCATTTTATTTTGACCTAAAAATCTAATTCTGCTGTGGAGCCGCAACAGGACAGTAAAAGAGCTGGAGCTGCATGTTGCCGACCCCTGACCTTTGGAAACCAAAGCATTTACATATATGTGCATATTTAGCCCACAGCAGTTTAGCCTGCTCACTCAGGCTGATGTTATAGGGAGTGTTTCAGCCTATACTGCTATTTTTAAATTAATTTCGTCACTTCCAAAGAAATGTCCATTGTGGATGCTGTTTTATTGATACAAGAGCAGACCCCAAATGTAACAGACTTAACCAGTATCCATCTGTGTGACACCAGCCTGAATAACTGATGTATTGAGTCAGCTGTGGGGTTGCTGTAGTGTTTTTTCATACGTTTTCAGGTAATAAAGCTGGGCTATTCAATCACAGTCCTGGGGACTCAATGCTCTGGACATTTTCACTACTTTACCACACTTGACTGAGCACATGAGGAGCTTGATATTAAACTAATTACTTAGTTGAATCAAGTGTGCTAGACAATGGAAAATACAAAAATGTGCATAGCATGGGCCCCAGGACTGGGAGTTCCTGTGTAAAACTCTAGTTGTGCTCCAGCATTCCAGACATTTGACACCAAATTTAGAGCTTTTAGTGTTCAGGGTTAACTTTATGAATTCATTGTCATGCTCATACCTACTTTTAGTAGTTTGACTTTGAATGGCCAAAAAAGTCTTACAAGGACTTTGTCTCCATCTAGTGGGTAACACCAATACAGGCACACGTGATAAAATTCCCCTACAACTAATACAAAGTTCCAGACGTCCTGTGTGCATTTTCCTGCTTTTTAAGGCTGCTTTTCTTAGCAAACCATATAAACTTTGTCTATTTAACGATGTACATAGCTGTTCAGGCTGTTGTTTGTCCAGTTAATGCAGAACGAGTGAATGTTAAGATCATTTGAAACAAGCCAGTTAAACAGTGCCGTCTGGATTACACTTTGTAACCTGAATTCCTTCAACTGTTCTTTTACATGAGCTCAGCATTTTAAAATATTTATACAATACTCTTATACAGATGTGCATTAAAACTATTTATTTCTTCTAATTCAGGAGTCTAAAGGGTACATACATGTAGCCATAATAATAGCTTGAGATCTTCCAGTGAGAATAACTTAATCAGCATTGTCTAGTGCACAAGAGAAGAAAGCTGGACTGTTGCCCTACTTGTTGTTTAAATAGCACCAGGCTCCACCACTGGCTTATCCGAACAGCTCACTGTAGACATAGATGACTACACACTGTGTATAGATACTCTAGAGGAGGGATGCAAAAACTTTTTGTCTTGGGAGGCCAAAGTGCGATATCTATGGTGGGCTGAGGGTCAAACAATAAACAAATAAAAAAGGTATAGGTTTCAAATGGAGTTTTCAATGTATTTTGTAAAATTACACTATGATCTATAAATAAAATACTTCAAAAACAGTTTTAAAAGGAAAATAAGAATTATATACTGCATAAATATGTTAATTCTCTCATTGAGTGAGGGTTGAGGGGAACGCTATCTTTATGGTAGGCCAAATGAAATGGTAGGCCAAATTAAAGGGCCACACTTTGGGCAGTCCTGCTGTTCTGCAATAAATGCATGATCAATATCAGCCATTCATACTGTGATATTCTTGGATATTTTTGGCACTGCTTTGACACAAATGTCATAAATAGTGGCATAGATACACAGTGTAATAGTGAATAGGCCTTAGAGGTGTAATTAGAAGAGACCCTGGAGACTGATGCGTTACCAGGTCCCCAGAATGCCAGACAGACCAGTGGTTCCAGTGGGGCTTTTGTGTCAGTACTGGGGTGGGACTTCAAGAGGGACTAACAAGGCAACCTAGAGCGGCAGCAGTTTTGTTATTCTTTTCACTGAAAAGCTACCTCCTGCTCATGTTTCCTTTGAATCTGTTTTTTTTTATGCAGATACACATCTAAAGACTGTTACTTAATAGATTAATTTGAGTAAACAGAGTTTTGTGATATTATTTACAACTCTAATTTTGAAATCATCAAAATGACACAGCCAGCCTTCCCCAACAAATGGGAAACAAAAAAATTAAACTTAACAGCATACATTGATATAGTCATTTACTTTGGCATTTGTAATAAATGAACAATATATCTTTTACACTGCACGCAGAAAATTAAAAGATAAAAAAGAGTAAAAGCCATTATTTGACGTATGACACTGAACTGGAATCAGTGAGCTGTAACCACGCACATCCGGGTCATTCCTTTACGTTGAAGCCTTCGCTGAAGGCGTTAGAATTTTTCCCCACCCGTTTTCAGACAAAGCCCGCCTCCTCAGCTACGGGACTGGCTACTCACCACATCTGAGCATGTTCGAGGCACAATCTCTAACACTGCCCGGAAGGGAAGGTTTAATGCCTTACAGTGAATGTCTCTCTAAGTAATTACCTATATATATTTAACACTGGCTGCCTTAATTTAGTTCAGCTTAAATAAATAAAAAATGTATTTAACTCCCTGATGTAATATATTGAATGTATCATGATTCTGTAGTACATTTTGGTTCTGTGGTTTAGTTTTAGCCAAAGGTAGGTAGTAATTACTTACATTTGCATAGTGTGGGCTACTCAAGCAAATGAATTAATAAATTTATCCTTTTGTCAGTATTGTCATATGATAATATTCTTATTTCTACACAAGTATAGCCGATTTGTGGAAAAATTAATATTTTGGTCATATGTTATTTTTTTGACATACTGTAGTGTCAGCAGAACATCACACAGAAAACATGTCACACACAATATATAAACAGTCCCTTTTCAGGAGAGTGTGCACATACCATGAGCCACTTGCATGGCCATGCCTTCTGAATCTTTTAAAGCCAGCACCAGTCAGTCAGTAGCGGTTCACTACACAGCCCGGTCACTGGTGACCTACCAGCTCGAGCCAAGTCCTTGGGCATTCGCAAACAGTCCCAGCCAGTGCAAACACCACGGGGCACTCGCTCCTTAACAGCGAGTGCCTCCAGTCCTCCCCCCAGGGCCACGCCACCCCTGCCACGGCTTCTCCGGCGTATGGTAGAGCTCCCCACAGCATGCCATGTCAAATCCCACGTGGCTGGGGGTGACAGCAGCAACAGCGACGCTCGACCCTGCCCTTCCGCTCCCACTGCCACACAATACCTTACAGTGAAAGTCTCTCTAAGTAATTACCTGTATATATTTAACACAGGCTGCCTTAATTTCGTTCATCTTAAATAAATAAAAAAATGTATTTAACCCCCTGATGCAAATGACCCCTGATGCAAACGACACTGTCCTGAATTATTATTTTACTGAAATATTTGTAGCAACATGCAGATATAAATAAATTACATTGCAATAGGCAACAAAATTTAATCTCTGCACTGAATATATATGACATTATGGTGTCACTCAGAAAAAAAGCCAGGTGAGGCCATAATTTCTGCTCGATAATGTTCGATTATTAAAGGAGCAACGCTGAAAATCCACTTAACAGCAACTGAAACTAGAGGCAGGTCACTCTGTGCCCGGCTCACTGGGGGTGCGCACCTCTCATGAGCCTCTTCTGTCGGCAGTTTGCTTAGCAAAGCTTCTACCTCCTGGGAGGCAGCGCACCCAGAGAGCTACACTATGTTCCTGCAGTACATGAAGCGGCAGTTTCAGGACCGCAATTCCAGATATCAATATAAGTGTAATTGTACGCATATTTTGTTTTCACCGTTTTACATTTAATGTATGTAAGCGTGACGCACTAGTAATAATAATTACCCAGTGGACTGTTCGTGAATGTGAGCTACCATCCAATCCGATCGGAGGAGGCGGGATTTGTCGGAAAACGGGTGGGGAAAAAAATAACAACGCGTGCTGTGGAGCGAAGGGAGGGACTAGTGCAGCAGGAATCCGGTTGGATCGGCAGTGTCAGTGCGACGCTGCGAATGGAAAACGACCAATATTTGCTAACGATTTTGTAGCCTGTGCGTTGCAGTATGTTAACTTTGGACACGGAGGACGGTTTAATAACGCCGCCTGACATGTGAGACAAAACAAGAAAGCAGAGCTGCAGGAGACCTGGCCGCGTCTTCTCCTTTCTGTTTCGCGATTTCTCCGTTGATGCATCTTGTCGGGAAGAAGCATGAAGAAGTTTAATATCAGAAAGGTGCTGGATGGCTTGACTGCGGGTTCCTCCTCCTCCTCTTCGTCCGCCTCGCTTCAGCCGGGCAACAGGGAAAACGACGTTATTCAGGAGACTCTGCAGTCTGAACATTTTCAGCTTTGCAAGGTGACTTCTGTTATGATGTTGTCTTTCTGGTTTGTTTGTTTATTCTGAAGTGTCAGTGGTTGCTAGCATTGCTAATGTCAACCCCCCTTTTCGGTCCCGCATGCTAGCACCCTGTTAGCCAGCCAGCCAGTCAGTCGGTCAGCCAGCCCTACAGCGGCGGCAGCTTCCGCCAAGACCGAGCTCAGCTGCTGCAATTCAGTGTATATTCAGCCTCCATGTAGCTAATAAGGCTTGTATCTGTCAGCAGTAAAGCTCTTCAGTTAAGTTAACCACTGCGTATCCGTGCTAAAATACCCTTGTCAGTTAGCTAGCTAGCAGTCTCTTCCGCCTATAAGGTGTTGTTGGTGGCGTTTACATGGTCAGTTCGGTTTGGTGCGGTTCCTTCGATATTAAAAGCATCTGGACTGGTTATATTATTAACTATGTAACGTGAAGACTTTTAGGAAAGACACAGAACACAAACTTAGACGTGGTTGCTGACAGTGCGATAGCTCAGCTACTGGCTGTTGATTTGAGTTAGGCTTGTTGCCCCTCAGTTTATGTAGTTGAACAGATTATAATAATCAGCTGAGGTACAGCGAGTCCAGTGGCTGCTGTCATGTGATCCCATCAGGTAGCTAGCTAATGTTAGCTTGTTAATAAAAACGACCAAGCTGACTTTATACTCGTCAATAAACTCTTTAAATTAGGTGGTGTTGGCATGTTTGTGACGTTAGCAGCTATTTAACCGGTTGCTGTCACTGCAGTTGTAGCTGTCCACCTTCGTAGACCTGACTTCCTTTATTACAGCAAACATTCATCTCGGTGATATGTCAGGAAATGTGAATGTTAACCTAGCTAGGTTAGCTATGGCACTGGCGTGCTAGTTACTGTTGTGTTGATTTTAGTGACTTTTAGCCGTTTAGTCGAAGAGTCCCCAGAAATGTCAAAGCAGTGGTGTTTTCAGGAAATGAACGTAGCTGTTAATTTTAGCTAGCCAGTCGTGTCGCCTCGTCTGCCAGCTGCTGTCACAGCAGCTTGTAAAGGAATCAGCCTCGTAAAAGAGCAGTTATGTTCTTATCTTTTTTCACGAGTCTGAAGTCAGCTTTCTTTTCGCCAGCTTCTTTTTCGAATTTTCCCGTTCCACCTTAAATAGTGCAGCAGTAACGTTCTGCGATAGACACCAGAATGTAAGTGCTGCACCATTTAAGGCGGAACACGAAAATTCGAAAAAGAAGCTGGCGAATAAGAAGCTGACTTCAGACTCGTTTTTACTGTCACTAGATCAGGCCTTTGACCTTGGTGACAGTCTAAAAGTAATGTTTTCCACCGTAGTTACTTTGTTATAGTGCTTACACAGTTGTACAGTCTGTATGTTTCTTTGTTTCTGTATCTGTCTGTCAAAGTTGTTTTTTTCCAGCATCATTATAGCCAATTTATAGCAACAAATCATTTAGTTTAAACATGAGTTTGTGTTGGTCTGTGTTGGTCAGAACTAACAGTAAAATCATCCTGATGGTGCATGATGGAGCACATACCAAATTCTTGTAATTTTTTTAACAGGGGCGTTATGATGACAGTTTTAAGTGATCTCTGTATTGAATGAATGCTTAAATATAGACATTGTTAAATACCTCCTTCTGTAGCTGTATATGTTCATGAAGACCTTACTGTTGATGAACAATGGACATGCAGTTTAATGCAACTTCCATTTTGTTTTGTTTTGCAGACAGTGCGACATGGCTTTCCTTACCAACCCTCTGCCATGGCCTTTGACCCTGTGCAAAAAATATTGGCCATTGGGACACAGAATGGATCCCTAAGACTGTATCCTTTCCACTATAGGTTGTGTGTATGCCATTTGTGGCCAGTGTATTAATATTATGTTTCTGTGTTTTCCATCACAGTCCTCAGTGTTGAAGGCTAGTCATTCTACTTATTTTATTGCTTGTGGTAGTTGTCTCAAAAAGTAACTAAAGATGTTTGGTCTTCACGTTCTGTGGTCTGTGCTTTTCACAAACGACTTCTTATGACTTTATGAAAATGGCCAAATACTATTAATTGATTTGTCTGAGGCAAACCAGCCTCCAAGAAGTCTAAAGCTGTGTGACAGATATATTACTTTTTTCATCACTTAATTTTTGTTTTTCTGTAGTGTTCCATCACAATGTAATGGATGCCTACCTCTAAAATTTCTTCTGATTGTTGACTATGTGCATCCACGCTTGGGGTAAAAAATAATATTAATAAGATCATATTTCACCTGCCCCTCAGCTAGCTGAGAGACCCTCCCTGATACTGTGTTTCACTTAAAATATATCACAGTATGTTGTGTACTTTATTGAACCTACAAGGGAAATTTGTCATTTTGCCTCTCTTACCACTAGGCTGGCAGCTACCCCGGTATGCGTTATGAGTTCCAATTAATGTTGATTTTTTCAGGGGTCATGCCCTCTTGAAAATAACGGTTCCTAAATTACTCTTGGCATGGATGTGTGATAGAAGAATAAAAAGATGGCAGTGGTCACAGTGCTGCTCCTGGAGATCTACCTTCCTGTAGAATTTGGCTCAAATATAGCTCATTTGATCCTACTAATTAAGTGGGGGACGGATCTTGATGAGATGTTCATTTAGGGTTCGAAATATACTCTACAGAAAGCTAGATCTCCTGGATTAGCGTTGGTGATCGCTGTCCTGGCTTTCTGTGGCTCCAGAGAGCTCATTTTGACACCCTTATTTTGGTGTGTGGCCTTTATTTAGAAATATTAAATTAGTGGTGCAGTAAGCAAAACATTTGAAGGTGCGTGCTAGACTAATGAGTAGGATGTGGGCTTTGAATGCGTTCTACATTCTGGGCATTCCCCCATGTTTAGGGGATCATTTAAACCAGGGCCGTGGATAAGGCGTCATTCTCCCTCTTATATCTTGTCAGTTGCATTTTGCCGTGTGGTTTTAGTGGCATGTTTCTTAGCAGCTGACTGTGAATTCCTGGAAGAGTTACTCTCATTAATGATATCTCTGCTGTGGCATGAGCAGCTCTGTTGCCATATGCTGCAGAGCCAGCCTCATCATTGCTTCTGTTCACTCTCTGCCAGAACACCACCTCACACGTGCTGGAATCATCACTGGTCCTGCTGGGCGCGTCTGCTAGACCATGTGACATGCGCAGCCAAGCTTTTTCAAGATGCTGCTTAGAAGAGCCCTCATATCTCATATCTCGTTTTTACAAGCACGTGGCCTTTTCACCTTTATTTCTTTCCATGTACATGTAAAAAGAAAACAGAACAAAAATTGATGTACCGTCAAATCGCCCAAGAAAAAGTGTGCGAGCAGGTGTGTAGGGCACTGAGGACATTTGAAAGCAATTGGGACAATTCTATTGATTTGTTAAAGCTTATGAAGGTCATGTAGACTGAAACATTTGCATCTCTTCGTAAGCTGGTGACGGTTAACTGAGTTACTGGGTTACCAGCCCCCAGTGATGGTAAACATAAATTTACTTCTGGTTTAAAAAAATATTTAGTTCAATCCATAGCAAGACACTAGTATTCCCACACATTAATGTAACTGAACTTTTAAACATGTTGGGTGATGTGAAATCCTACATTAATACCAGATTTATTGTATCTGACCTGATGATTCTTATAGAAGTGCCTATAAAGCTGTGCAGATTGAAGGCTCTCAGGTGGCAGGCATCCTGTATTTTGCCTGTTTAAAAAGCCATGGATGTTAAGGTGTAGGACATCCTAAGACCACAATGTCAGGTTTCAGATGTTAGATAAAACGTCTTTGGATCTGCACAGTTTGACATGGGGTGAAATGGCGTCAGACAGAAGGCGTCAGGCCAGGGCTGAAAGATTAGTCATTTTTCTACCGAAATTGTGATTTGAAAGAGAGCAATTTTCCAGTCACAAGAGCTGCCATTTTACTTATAATGTACATTATGAACATTGTTATCTTAAGATATTTTAAGTGGGCAAATTTATGCTAATAATGCTGAGCTTGTGGACCGTCTGTAGATGAGTCAGATCAGTCAGAAGCAACCAAATGTCCATGTGCTGTGTACATGACAACACAGCTAACTGGCGTTCTGGCGCACATGTTCTGTGCTCAAGCTGCAAGCTAGAAAAAGACGATATTCTGGTCTTCTCAGCCAAAAAAAGGCTTGGACCTCAGTCTATAGAAAATAATTACAATTTAAATCACAAATGCAATATTGGTCAGAAAAATCACAGTTAGATATTTTGCCCCAATTTTTCGGCCCTACATCTGGCTAAGCTAAATGGCTACGTACACCAAAGCCTGGGCGGTAAAGTCTGTGTGACATTTGCAGTTGCTTTCTTTCTTACTAGATTAATTACAGTTTTGTGACCAAAAAAAAATAATAATGACAACAAACTGCATCCACAACTTTTACTGAACTGTGCTTTCATTATGATCTTTTATTTGGTGACAGTTAAGCTTTGACTTGCAAGCTTTCACTGTATTTGCTTCCGCATTACGGGCTGTCGCAAAATTGCTGAAAGGAAATGAGTAGAAACACTTTGTGGAAATAAAGAATTAAAAAGAAAAAAATATATATACACCCCCTCTGTCCCAGTGTAGCTGTTTATCAAGGTTATTTACCTGAATCACAAGCACAGGCCTACCTCTTCATATTTTTGTTGCATCTCTGGTACTAGTTGATGCTGTTAAATGTTATGAGAAATAATACATTTAAGTACTATTAAATGGTCTCACATGACATTGTTAATTTGATGTTTTTGTAGTAGGAGTGTTGGCCAGTGGGGTCCACATACACATACATGTAGTCACACGGATTTAATGCTGCTAACTGAAGTTTATTTACAAATGGCAAAGTGGTCTGAATGTGGTTTGAGTTTGGAGCAGTATTACTACTGTAACTGCTTAATGGTGGGTGCGGATTTATTGAAGGAAAGCCTTTGGTGTGAGGCTGTGGCAGTTGTTCTTTTAGGAGCTCAGAGGCCGGCCACCCACCTGCTTGACTTGGCTCAGTGCCAGTGCAGCGTGTTGAGGTGTGATGCGTTCAGAAAGGCAGCCGTTGCCTGGATGTGTTAATGTGCTGGGTGGGGGGGGGGTGCTGATGGACTTGCTGCAGTTCAGCCAATTGGTCCATTCATCAAAAGACAGGCTGTATCGATTTGCCTCATTCCTCTCAGCATTGGGAGCCACAGGCACAGCCTGGTTAACGTACTGTAAACTCAACAAGGTATTTGTTAACAATAAACATGTAATTTAACATGATGTGTTTATACTTCTGTCTTTTATGCCTTGCTCCTTTTTCTCCCAAAATATTAGGAAAAGACAGTGTCCGATCTTGTGGTTCTCTTGATCAATACTAGCTTGTTAAACAGATTAGGATACATTATAGATTCTTTCATTGAGGAATCCATAACAGTCATTCTGATTGCTCTCCCTAGCTAGTCTTTGACAAAATGTACCAAATATTAGGATTTTACTTAAACATAAGATGAAGTGGTTAAACCATTGGCTTTGCTCGTAAAGCCAGGGTTCACAGTTTGTGGGTGGTGTTTTCTTCTGAACGTAAGTAAAGTCTTTCATCTTTTGCATCACAGACAAAAACCTATGCAGGTTGTATTTGAAGGCTTTATAAGCCTTCAGAGTGATGTAAAGTATCATTTGACATTCAGTAATCTTGTGATGTTTTTGACATTTGCTTGATCTAGTGATCTAACGCCTGCAACACATGCAACATAGCACCACAGACCACTTTGGTTTACCAAAGGAGGAAGTGTCTCTAAATAGAGGAAGTGTTTCTCTTTCAAGTCTGCAACGTTTTCGTGTTCTTGCTAAAGACTGTAGCAGTGAGTTAGAGCCATTTCAGCTGATGTCTTCAGAGGGTTAATATCCATGTGACTATCATTTCCTGCTCCAGAACATTCCAGAGGCAGTCTGGAACTTACAAGGCTGAATAGCGCATTACGTCTCCCACTTCCCTTGTTTTCACTGACATTCATAAGCTGCCTTTGATAGCTGGACTAATATTGCACAAACTGATTTAACATGTCTGAAGAATTCATAATCACTGTTGAATCTACACCGTCCCTAGCTGTGATTATAATTACAAATATTTATTGTTATGACAGGGAGGTGATGACCTGGACTAGTGAAAGTATAGCTAGTGATGTAAGCCTGAGAAAATAAGACATTTGCTAACTTTATGCTTATCTTGTTTATTTAGTAGTATTTTAAAGGAGAGAGTTTTATAAACCTTTAGCATTTGGTAGAAATAATGGAGATTATTAGCTCACTTGCTTAATGAGAGCATCGACCCTGAACAGTGTTTTGGCTACATCACACTGATCAGTGTGGGAAGGAAGCTACGTTAGTAGCTGTGGAGCTTGATGAATATCAGCTATTTGAGACTGAACCTGAGTTTGTTTAAGGCGTCCAGGGCCTGTTTGATTACACTGTTGTTAATCTTGTTTGAGCAGATCCTAGCTCCACTCTATCACTGTGAACAGCACTAATGGGCCTGTGTGGACAGAGCAAGAGTGAGCAAACTCCAGCTTCTCACTCAGTGGCTTGATATTCTTTATTTTCACTTTACAGCTTGTCACTTGTTAGTATTTGGGTGTGCATGCATGAGATATGCCTCTTCTTTGTAAGTCTGAATCTTGCACACTTTGACTTTGTTTTGCTCTACAAGTTGAAACACATTGGTAAACCTTTGATTTGGCATGCTTAAAGATTGGCTTGTGTTATTTTTGACCAAAGTTGTTTGCGTTTGTTGGATCGTGAGAGTGCTATGCTTCGTCCAAACACCTTAAGCATTTTTTTGATTC